GTTGCTCCCGCGCCTCGCTCAGCCAGTGAGCGGGAACCGGTCTGTATGTGGGATCCGAACCCTCGGGCGGGAGCGCCGCCGCACTTCCCAAGCGGCACACTATCCAGTGCGCCACCGGGCCGGCCCAGCTTCCCCCATTCTTATCAGCTAATCACAACAATCCTCTCTTCCCACACAATAAACAACAGTGGATGCTTCTTGTATTCACAGTTATTCTTCATCTTTTCATACCCAAGATAAATTCCCACCATGAGACAGAGGCACGTCCACCTGAGACTACCATTTGGAAATCTGAGAAACATAGGAAAGCGGAATCAGTTCAAAGAATGAGAGTAAGGCCAAGATTAACACGAAAACCCTCAATGGGGGGAGGGGAGAAGATAAGGAACAAAATAGAAAAGGTCTATGTTTAAAAAAAAAAAAAGCCCGATCAGAACTCATAAGAGAAGTGAACAAAAACACTGATCTAATTAAACAAAACATAGGCCAACACAGAGCCAAGCAGTAAGCTTCAGAGTCTACCACATCATGAGAACACAAACATGTACTTTAAGTTTTATGTTCTACTCCTCTCAGTATAGAAGGTAATTGATCGGGACATGACTCTCCCACAATCCCACTGGCATTAAACTATTTTTGACAAGTGCACTTACCAGAAGGCAGAATCAGCTCCATGGTTTCATCATCATATTCCAAGTTCTTTTCTGAAGGCAGCTCCTCAGCCTCATCAGGGTCCTCCCCTTCCTTGTGACCTGGGTAGCTACTCCTGTAACAGCAAAACGGCATTAATAAATAGACAAATATCTCAAACTGAACTAAAAGACATTGTACTGTAAATTGTAAATGTGGCAAACCCACCAGATACCTAAAAAGGGGCAAACGGCTGCAGGGACTGCCAGCTGAAAGGATTTGGGGAAAAAACAACTTGTTAGCATTTTCTCTGTAGTAAAAGTAAGTAAATGACGTATAACAAAATTCTATTTGTTTCTCCCTAGGAAGGTTGCCAAATGAAGAAGAAGAGGAGAAGAACAGAGAGCTGGACATGAAGCTCTAGTCAATTTAACCATTTTAAAACAAGTTCTAGAACAGTGTTGTCCAACAGAACTCAGTGATGATAGAAAAGTTCTATGTCTACGTGTCCAATATGGTAGATCTTGTCACATGGGCTTTCAAGCACTGAACTTTGAAATGCAGGTAGTATGACTAAAGAATCAAATTTTCCAATTTTTTTTTTTTTTCCTTTTTGTCTTTTTTCGTGTCCGGCAACGGATCGCAACCCTCAGTGTCGCGCCCGTACTGGGCAGGGACCGGCAACGGGATCGCAACCCTCGGTGTTGCTCCCACACCTCGCTCAGCCAGTGAGCGGGAACTGGTCTGTATGTGGGATCTGAACCCTCGGCGGGAGCGCCACCACGCTCCCAAGCGGCGCACTGTAGCAGTGCACCACCTGGCCGGCCTCCCCACACCCTCCACGGTTAATCAGATGCCAAGTCCTATCAATTCTATCTGTAGCACATCTTTGAGATCTTCATCCTCCTCTCTAATTCTACTGCCCTGATAGCCTACTACTTCATCAAGGCCCAGGTTATTATTATTTTATTATTATTATTATTATTTTTCCTTTTTGTCTTTTTTCGTGACCGGCAACGGATTGCAACCCTCAGTGTCGCGCCCGTACTGGGCAGGGACCGGCAACGGGATCGCAACCCTCGGTGTTGCTCCCACACCTCGCTCAGCCAGTGAGCGGGAACTGGTCTGTATGTGGGATCTGAACCCTCGGCGGGAGCGCCACCACGCTCCCAAGCGGCGCACTGTAGCAGTGCACCACCTGGCCGGCCCCAAATTTTCCAATTTTTAATTTAACTTTTAATTCGTTTAAATAGCCACATGGGTACACTTAGTAATTACCATATTGGCCAGTGCAGTTTTCAAAGCACGTCTATGTTCCTAGAAATGTTCACAAATTCATATTCACACATACACATGGAAAATAAGTGGAGAAATGCACATTAATATATTAACAGTAAGCCAGACAACTCAACAGAAAAATGGGCAATAGACTTGATCAGACACTTCACAAAAGGTATCCAAATGGCCAATTAATACATAAAAAGTCTCCTGATTACATTAGTCATCATCAGGGAGATGTAAACGAAAATGACTACACACCCACCAAAGTGGCTAAAATGAAAAACTCTCCCTCGCTATATGTGGGAGTATAGGGAACCACTTTGGAAAACAATTTGACAGTATCTTCTAAAATTGAACATATGTATACTCTCTGGCCTAACTCCTAAATATATACACAACAGACAGCATGTGCACATTTGCCAAAAGACACATAATAGAAGAATGTAGCAGATTTATTTGTAAAAGCCCCAAACTGAATAACATTTAAATGTGCATCATCAGTAGACTACATATTGTGGAGCATTCAACAGAATACAACAATGGAACAAATGATCTACTGCCATATCAAATACTACGGATGAGTCTCACAAATGTAAATTTGACCAAGAGAATCCACACCCAAAAGAATATATTCTTTGTGATTCTATTTATATAAAGCACAAAAATACACACAACCAATATATGCTGTTTTAAATGAGAATAGTAGTTACTCCTGAAGACAGGAGGGGTAGTTCCTAGAAGGACACACGAGGGAAACAGTTATTATTTGTGTTCTGTTTCCTGATCTAGGAACAAGTTCTATCTAAAATTTCAGTAGACTTGGAGCTGGGGACTAGACCCCCCAGCCTGCAACCAGGCACACCACCAGAGCCTTGGGGCCCAACCCGGGGGACTGGGGCACGGATCCGGGGACCAGACCCCCCTGCCCACAACCAGGCAAACCACCAGCACCAAGGAGGCATGCCAAAAACATCACATCCATGTGGATGGCCCACCACATTAACCACGGCTGCCATGAAAGTGGCTAGACGTCACAACCACCATGCAGAGGGTCCACCAGCCACTGGAGTGCATCGACACAAGGAGAGTCACCAGCAGAGACCAAAGAAAGAAGAGGACGTCTCTCTCCACAAAGCACATTCCAGAGTGACAGAAGAAGCATTTGCTCTGTGATAATATAGGGGGACCTGAACACACCTCTCAGCATTGGACAGATCATCTAGGCAACAAATCAACAGAGTAACCATTACTCTTTCAGAGGGAGAGAAGAAATCTAGAGTTATCAGTGGTGGGAGGTGTGAGGGAGAGGGGGATAGGGAGATTGGACAAGGGGCATAAAGAGTAAGTACAATTTGTAACAATATACATACTAGTAATATTGATTTGATCAACATATGTCAACCTTGAATCCCAAAATATAAATAATCAATTATGATTCAATATAAATAAATAAATAGAACTAAAAAAGTAATAAAATTTCAATAGACTGAATTATGATATTGTCAGTGTACTATGTGCACTTTTCTGTAAGTTTATTCTTCAATAAAAAGTTTCAAGTCTAAAATAAGTTAACACTAGTTATCTGGGGAAGAAGAGTGGAATTATGGGTAATTTGACATTTTTTTAACCAAGTGAATCCACATAAAGTGCTTATTAAAACAGTGCCTGGCAGGTAGCAATCACCCAATAAATGCTGCCTTTGTGTGTGGAGGCTTTCTATTTCCAAGTTTTCTTTATTAAGCATTATCAACTTTTGCTTTTTTAAGGGAAATAAATTATTTAATATTTATTTTTATAAAGGTTCACACCATTTCTCACTTTTAGGCACCAACAGAAGAAAATTCTGTGTTGCTATTTTATGAAAGGTGGTCAAGGAAGGCCACACAGAGGAGGTGAAATTTATGCCAAGCCCTACAGGAAGTGAGATGGTGAGTCAAGTGAACATATGAGTGAAGGTTACAGGCAATGACAACAACAAGTACAAAGGTCCTCAGAAACACACTGATGGATCAAAGGAATAGCCAGAAATCGAGAGAGCAAGAAACAGAAAGCACAAGAACAGCTGGGCCAGATCACATAGAACTTGTAGGCCATTTTATTGTTGCTTTTACTTTGAGTAAGACAGAAAGCCTTTGGAAGATTCTGAGCAGAGTTTGATTCAGCTTACTGATTTAAAACCATCCCTCTGACTACAGTTTTGAGAACAGAATGTAGTGGGTGGCAAGAATGAAAGTAAGGAGACCAGGCAAGCAGGAGACTACTGCAGCAAGTCAGGTGAAAGATGATAGTGACCTGGACCCGGGTAGTAGCAGGGGATGTAGTGAGGAGTCAGACTCTGAAGATAATCTGAAGGTAGATAAAACAGGATTTGATGAGGGATATAACATAAGCATGGAAGAAAATAGAAGAATAAAAGGGTGACTGCAAGGCTTTTGGCTTAAGTAACTGGAAGGACAGAGTTGCCATTTACTTAGAGAGGAGCAGGTTAGAATGCATAGCAGGAGTTTGATTTTGGACATGTTAAGTTAATGATCCTTTTTGGACATAATGTCGAGGAGGCAGTTGGATATGTAAATCTGGAGCTGAGAAGAACACTATCCTAAAGATATAAATTTGGGAATCACGAGCCTATAGGAGGTATTGACATCTACAAGACTGGATAGGATCCTGAGTATAGCCACAGGAAGCAAGTGTGGACAGACAACGTTACAGACTGAGCACGGTGGCATTCTAAGCCAGCTGCTGGCTGCAGCCTTTTGCTTTGGTACTTGCTTTGACCACTCTGATTACAGCAACAGTGGTCAAAAGTCATAAATACTGCTGTCTGAAAGGAAATTTGAGGGATAAATACTATCCCTTGCCTAGAGGAGGATGCTTTCCACCTCCAGCAGACACTCAATCCATATTCTCCACTGCCACCACTTCTAAAACCCTAGTTATGCCCAGCAATGGCCAGTCCCCAACTGCAAAATGAGAAATCAGAGAGAAAATGCAAAAGGAAGACTTAAAAGACTAAGATGTTTCTGAACACCTGTCTCACTTGGACTATGCATGTCCAGCACAGTAATTACACACACCTGCTTCCCTCCTGTGCTAGTTCACAGGAATTCTGACAATACTAACTAGTTGTCATAGACATACTAACTCACTAACATGCAAGGATACTTCAAAAAGTTCATGGAAAAACAGAACTGAAATATGATACTGTAGTGAATTGAATTATGTCCCCCCAAAACTCACTGAAGCTTGAATTGTGTCCCCCAAGTTTTACATATTAGAAACTTGTCCCGACTGTGACTGTTAGGAGGGTGAAAAATCTTGTTATGGTGATTGAAGGGTGGAGCCTTAAAGAGGTGATTGGACTGTAGGACTATGCAGTACTGAATGGATTAAAAATGATGGTGAGGGGCACAGTTCTGAGGACTTTAAACAAAGAGACAGGAGAGTCTCTCCCTCTTTCTCCCTCTCTCTCTCTCTCTCTCTCTCTCTACTTCCACCACCTTGCAATGTGAGACCCCAGGGTCACTGTCGCCACCACCAGATGGACTTTGAATTTCCCAGCCTCAGAAACTTTAAGCAATAAATTTTGTTTTTCTTTATAAATCACCCAGTTTCAGGTATTTTCTTACAAGCAACGGAAACAAACTAATACAGATGTGAATCTTTCCATGAACTTTTGAAGACCATTTGTACATTTGTTACTCGATGTATAAATTATTAAGATTCCAGTTACGGGTGAACTACTTATGGGACAATTTCACTATCAAATGCCTAGTTCAGCAACCATCTCAACTTCCTTAAGAGACAACTTGTGATTCAGGGACTATCAGGGAACCCAAAACATGAAACCTAATTTCTGCACCTCCGTTCGTGAGGTAACTGGTAAGAATGAACTCCTGACCATTTAACGACAAAAACAAAAACAAGTCAGACAAACTTCAGTTTGAACCTGAGATCTTCTCTTCACTAAATGTGTTAAGCTCTGTTAAAATGTGTTTCTTAACTACAAAATGAGAAAAAATAACCACAAATAGAGGGAATATAATGGTTATTAAGAAAATATTGTACAATGACAGACATATCTAATATCACTTCAGTGCAAATATGATGACCTCACTTCACTTCACATTACAAACAACAGACTTACCTAAAATCATAGAAGTCTGCAAATTCCAAAGCAGCATCACCATCTGTGAAAAGCTTACAGTGGCTTTTGTCATTCATATGTGCCTGTACAGCTTCTGTGGAGTAGAAGGACTTCCCTTTCTCATTGCACCACAGGCAAATCTTCCCAACACCAACTTTCTCTCCTGGAAAAATAAGTTGCAAAAAAAATTTGAAAGAAGCCTTTTGCAGATTAAATCTCATCATTTATTTCCACAATTCAAAAGACAAAACTTCATCAAGTTTTTGATTTTCACAAAATAATCAAGAAATTAAATCAAAGATTCATGAGAAACACAAAACTAATGTTCCCTTGAGACCTGCCCCCCAATAATGTGATATTTCCCAAGGAAAACTTATACTTACCCAAATATTTAATCAGTCCCCTGAGATCTGAAAGATATTCTATATCAGGAATAAAGAAGCTGTGGATTTTAGTCATATGAGACACATTCTTCATGAGGGAACTTGAATGATGGGAACAAAATAAGCAGTCTGTTATAGGGATGGCACCAAAGGGTGGGCTTTCCTCAGCTTCTTCGTCCTCTGCATCATCCATTGCTTCAGTATCCTCACATTCCAATTCTTGATCAGAATCAATATCTTCCCAATCTTCAAGGCAGAATTTTGAAACAAAGTTAACTTAAGAAAAGTGGTAACAGCAATCAAAGATATCAAAGATTTATACGAGACGGTACAACCCTTTATTTGGGAAGACAGGATGCCAATTACGTCCCCTTAGGAAAAACCCTATTTTACGATCTCAATTTTAGCTATTCATTTACCACAGACCAGTCTGTATGCCTAAGAAATTCCTTAATTTTTCTTTTCCAGTACACAGTAGACTTCTTGAAGGACTCTTTTGCTTCTTTCCTATGCCTCACAGCACCTAGCCCAGTGCTGAACACACAGTTAAGTGGTTTCATATCTAGCTGAATATTTTTATAAATTGCTAAAACAATGGCTGTATCTACCATTTCACAGAAGTATTATGGTGTTTGTGTACGTGGTGGTGGGTTTCTATATAAGGTGTTATGGTTGAATGTTTCTCCAAAATTGGTACATTGAAAACTTAATCACCAATGGGACAGTATTAAAAGGTGGGGCCTTTAGGAGATGATTAGGTCATGAGGCCTTTTCCCTTCCGAGAAAACTCCATCTATGGAACAGGCCCTCACCAGACACAGAATCTACCAACCCCTTCATTTTGGACTTCTCAGCCTCTAGAACTGTATTTACGTTGAAATATAAAATATATTTATGTTGTTTATAAATGACCCAGTCTCAGGTATTTGGTTACAGCAACAGAAACTAAAACATAAACACATACGATATCAGTGTTAATAGGATGTGGGATGGGGAAAGGACAGAAAAAATAGCTCAAACAGGCTAGGTAGGTTGCTGGATCATGCTCCACATTTCAGGTTTGCTAGCTGATTTTGAGCGCCTCATTCTGTTTTAATCAAGTAAATTAAGTGCAATACCATCACAATGGGAAACCCTCAAGAGTCACAAATACCAAGATAACATGTTCTCCTGTGCATACCTTGCTTCTAAAACAGAGAAGGCATCAGTTCATTCTACAAGTATCTACTAAGCACCTATTCTTTTCTCCAGGTAAGGTTTCAAGCCCTGAATCTACACCAGTGAACTAAAAAGACAAAATTCCATATGGGGATGGGCATTAAGTGCCCATTAAGGAAGCATTTAAGCCACCTTTACTTCTCGTTTTCATTTAAAAACTGGCGCGCGCACACCCACGAGTATAAATCTGGAAACTGCAGGGGAGTCCGTTCCCTCTTTTTCCCCCTCGGCCAGGGCCATTACCGTCTCCGTCCAGGTCCTCTTCATCCTCACTCTCCTCCTCCTGCTGCTTTGCCAGCTTCCTCGCCTGCTGTTCAAACCACTGGAGCCGGGGCGGTTTCTCGGTGGGCTCTCGGTCGTGACTCACGCGTCCACCAGCAGCCTCGGCCACGGAAGCCCTGGACTCCTCTGTAGGCACGAGGGGCGACTTCTTGGGAGACGTGGACGGCTGAGCCTTGATGGCCTGCTGGATGGCCGTGTTCATGGCATCCTTGTCCACACTGTCCCCGCCCAGCCCTTTCTCCAAGTTCTTCTCATTCATCATCTCCACCTTCCGATTCACGGCCCGCACGGCCTTCTTCTCCAGCTCCACGTGCCGCCGGGACTTCAGGTGGTTGTCGTAGGCATTGAAAGTCGCAAACTTCTTACTGCAGACGGTGCAGTAGGTGGCCGTGCCCTTGCTCTCCTGCTCCGCCACCGCCCGCTGCGCCCGCACTCGCTCCTGGAAGCCTTCGGCGGTGACAGGGGCCATGCTGGCCACTTTTCGCCTCAAGTTGTAGCGGTGCCAGTCCGTCTTGTAGTGGGCCCGTTGCACCTCCGCGTCGTGAAACGCCACACGGCAGGTGATGCAAGTGTACATCGCCATCGTCAGGCGAGAAATGAGGGGCGACCAAGCCAGGAATTTACTGATCAGCGCCCTTGGCCGCACAAGACCCCCAGACCTTAACTCGTCTCAGCGACTACGGGAAGCCACACAGCGCGCTGACTTCCCGAGGCAAACTGAGGAAACTTCCGGCACACACCGGAAGTTATTGACAGCTGGACAGGAAATCCCGCCTCTCGCCCGGTGGCCACGCCCCCCGAGGCGTGGCCCCGGAAGGCGAGGGAAGTTGGTGTCTAGCCGGGTCTTGGATTCGCTCTGTCACCCTGAGGTGGGGCGTAGCGCCCTCCTGCTTGCCTGCCTTCTTGGTTGTGCCCTGCTGTGTGACGCGGCTAAGGCGACGGCTGCGCGAGGAGCGGGGAGTGAGCGCCCGGGAGGCCCCCAAGGGGAGGTCTGGTCGGCGACGCGAGGGTCGGGGCTTCTCTGAGGACCGCGCACTGCGCCCCTGGACCCCAATGAATGTCGCTGGTCGGGCCACCGGAGCCCTCGCTGGGCCGACTGGACTGATTCACAGAGAAACCGGAGTCCAGGTGTTTCTGAGGCGGCCCTACCAGCGAAGGGCACAGGCGAAACTCTTCAATAAAAGATCTGCCCGCTAGGTGCGAACAGCACCGCCATGCCTCTGTCCAGAAATATAATCCAAGCCACATATGTAAATTTTAAATCTAATAGTCGCTCCATTATTTAAAAAGCGAAAGGTAGGGAGGGGAGAAAGGGAGAGGTTGGTTTACGAATACAAAATTACAGCTAGATAGGAAACATGAGTTCTAGTGGTCTGTAGTAGTTCTAGGTTTCTATAATTTACAATAATTTATTGTATGTTTTCAAATGGGTAGAAGAGAGGGGCTCGAATGCTCTCATCACAAAGAAATTATAAAATTTTACGATGGTTAATATGCTAATTACCCTGATTTGATCATCACATATTGGATACATGTATTGAAATATCTCTGTACCCCATAAATATGTATAATAATGTGTCTATTAAAAAATAAACTAAAAAAGTAAAGAAATGGGTGGAATTGCTTTTAATGACATATTTTATTTAACCCAATATATCCAGAATATAACATGTAATCAATCTAAAAGAATGAGATAGTTTACATTCTTTCGCTGGTACTAAATCTTGGAAATCCAGTGTATATTTTACAATTAACAGCGCATCTCAACTTGGACTGGCGCCATTTCAGGTGCTCAGTTGCCTGTGTAGCCTCACATATATTAGACAGCACAGTTCTGTAGAAAACATGAGCTTTAAAGGCTTGGGAGGTCATAGAGTCATTTGCACAGCCTAGCCGAGCCAGAGTCAGCCTTGTCACAGAACTGAACGTTGCATGTTCAGTATCCAAGCTGCCAATAGCACCAAAAGATGATGTAGACGTTTTAAAATATATACATGAGGTCATGCCGCTCTTTTGCTCCAAATCCTCCAGTGCCTTCTCTTGATTCTGAATAAAATTCAAACACCTTACTTTTTATTCTACCAGCTCCTACAGTCCTGCCACTACCCTAACCCCTACCTCTGATCTTCTACCACACCCTTTCTCCATCCTGTTCACCCCACATCAGTCACAATGACACTTTTGAAGTTCTTTTAACAAGGCTAAGCAAGCATCCTTTGTTGGTACTAAGTCTTAGAAATCCTTTACTCTGCTGCTTGGGACATCGTTTTGCTAGCTTGCTCCCTTTACTTTTTAGATCTCCGCCCAAAATGCCTTTATAAGAGAGATTTATCCAAACCCTCTTGTCAAAAATAGTGCATATGCCCAACTCTAATTCCTTACCAGGCATGACTTTTCTCCATAGCACTATGTTAGTTGTCTATTACTCTGTAACAAATTACCCCAAAGTTTGGCATCAAACTTTATCTGAGTTTGTGTAAGTCAGGCATTTGAATGACTTGGATAGGTGGTTCTGACTCAATCTCATGAGGCTGCAGTGAGCATGCAGGCCAAGGCTGAAGTCATCCGAAGATTTGACTATATTTGACTGTAGGTAGAGGATCTCTTTCAAAAATGGCTCATTTATATGGCTGATAGCAAGAGGTTTGGGTTCCTCACCAAAAGGACCTCCCAATAGGTCTGCTTGAGTGTCCTCATAACATAGCAATTGGCTTTTCCTGGAGAGAGCAGAGTAGAGCCAAGATGTCTTTTATGACCTAGTCTTGGAAGTCACACACAGTCATTTCCACAAGGTGCTATTCCTTATGCAAGTCAGTCCTGTTTAATGTGGGAGGTGACTACATAAGGGCATGAATTTGGGGGATAAGGGGATTGTCTTTGGAGACCATTTTGGAAGATTGGCTACCATTAGCATTTGTTGTCACTGTTTACCCAGTTTTAGCACTGGAAGTCTTGCAAACCAGGATAGCTAGTCACACTACATGTTAGTCGTCCGCATCTAGAATATAGGCTGTATGAGAGCAGGCACTCCTTTCATTGCTGTATTAAGCTGTATGAGAGCAAGCACTCCTTTCATTGCTGTATACCCTAAATGCTAGAACAGTGCTGGCACATAGATCGTTCATATTTGTTAAATGGATCTTTTGCAGTTTAAAAGTTAAGTCTGAGTGATTTTTATTCTAGAAAACTTGATTTTGAGATTATCAAAATCTTTAAAAATATCTGAGCCCTCTGGACAGATACTCAGTATAATAAATTAGCTAGTGTTAGTTATCTACTGGAATAAGCAAAACATATATTTTCAAGTTTCCCGAAAAAGTAAAGCAAAAGATAGTTATATAAAGTAAAGGTTTCACTTTTTCCTATTACTTATAATTCTTATGTGGTTCCACCAGTATCTTTTCTTTGGGTCATTATTTCCTCTCTGCCTCCTAATTCATTTTCATGACCCTCCCATTTTGGCATCTTTGGACTCTCCATAGCTTCTTTACTTTAGCTCTTCAAAGGGGCATTGTTACCTCAACCATATTAGTTTACCAATGTACTGCCTTCCAATGTTCTGCAGTCTCCTAGATAGCCTTACTCTTTCTCCGTAGCCTGCCCTACAGAAAATACAGATAATCAGACTAATTTTTCTGTAGTATTTTTCTTATGTCATTTGTTCAAGAATGGCTGTTGGTTGCTCATAACATGAAGTTTAAATTCCTTTGCCTGGCTTTCAGTATCTCCTATAATCTCTCTCCCATGCTACATATCCTTTATAAAGTTCTACTAGTTCTAAATTGATTAAAATACCCTTACCTTCAAGAAGTTTTTATGACCTGTTAGGGATGGTTTAAAAACTACAATGAATACTGGGCCTAGTACAATGAAATGTAAAGGGGCAATGAATATTTACAATAGAGAAATCTCATCCAATTACAGGGATCAGAAACGTTTTCATTAAGGAATTGACATTTCGGATGGTTCCTGAGGAAGGAATGATTGAGGACTTTATCTGAAAGTGGAAAAACGTACATGGAACAGGAAGAAGAAATACTGGGGAGGGGTAAAATAAAGGGCATATTTAGAAAGAGTATTTTAGTCCACTTTGTGTTGCTATAACAGAAATACCTGAGACTGGGTAATTTATAAAGGAAAGAGGTTTATTTGGCTTACAATTCTGAGACAGCTGCATCTGGCCCAGGTCTCAGGGTGCTTCTACTCGTGGCGGAAAAGTGGCAGGCAGCTGGCAGGTACAAGCAGATCACATGGCGAGAGAGAAAGCAAGAGAGAGAGGAGGTGCCAGCGTCTTTTAAACAACAAGCTCTCGCGGGAACTAATAGAGTGAGAACTCACTCATTTATCTCTCCTCACCAAGGGAGAGCATTAATCCACTCATGAGGGATCTGCCCCCATGACTCAATCACTTTCCAACACTGCCACATACGAGATCAAAAGTCCACGTGAGTTTTGGAGGGGACAACACACCCAAACTTCATCAAAGAGTATAAGTCTAGTTTTGGCAAAGCATAGGATACAGGTAAGCAAGGGAAAATAAGACTGGAAAGTGTTAAGGTATCATTAGCTAAAAACTTGAATTCTAGAGTTTGCTGTTTATTCTTCATTTGGTAAACAGGGAGTCAAAAAGTGTTTCCGACTGGTTAGCTCACTGGGTTAGAGCATGGTGCTGATAACACCAAGGGCAAGAATTCAGATCCTTATACTGGCCAGCTGCCAAAAAAAAAAAAAAAAATCCATTTATATGGGCATCAGGAATAGAATTAGGCCATGAGTACATGCAACAGCAGTAGCTGGAACTGATTGGTGAAATACGAGAAAGGATCAGCTCCTTGGTAAATGCAAGTCAACTAAGCAAGCGACTGTTGAGTTAAATTTCTCTGCAGCATATCTACAGCACTATCTTCCTCTTTCTAATCTCTGCTGACAATACTATCAAAAACATTACCAAATTGATCGCTCTACTGAAGAATTTAAACTAAGACCACCCATGACAAAATATTTAATTTGAAAATATTAAAAGAATTCCTTCTGGATACTGTGACATAGCCCTTAAAATGGTTCACTTAACTCTCAAACTACTCACGTTATGGTGCACACTGTGAAAGTGACAGTACACACAGTAATGTGTTTCCTGTTTCAGTCTTAGAAGACCTTGGGATGTTAATCTTTAATAATTACAGAATCTAAAATAAAAACTAATAAGGTTGCCTTCAGTTGATATGCTAATTATAATATTCTCTGTTGACAGCATTACTACTTATCACATTCCTGTATTTTCTGTAGCACCTTGGTTTTTAAAAGGAAAATTTAAAAAGGGTTTGCGTTGGTTGAGGTTAACTTTTGGGGGGTATCAGATATCAAAGAAAAACTAACACATTTATCAAATGGTTTACAATTTCTATAAATTCTGTGTTCATAAAAAATAATTTTACGATTTTCAATCAACAATTGTTTTTGGCTTTCTGGATAGGCAGTCTTCTGTTCTTAACAAGGAATTGGAATGTACAGCAAAGCCTGTTTATCACAGCATTTAAAACAGTATAGATCAACTGGTTTCTGGATTCTTTGAAAAAAGAAAAAATTAATCTAAAATAAAATCAGTATTTCATGTTTAGTGAAGTTCTGTTAAATTATTTAAAGTATTATCATTCTTAATGTATCAGAACACTAAACCAATAAATGATAGTGTAATATATTAGAAAAAGAATAGGCTTGGGATCAGGCTGGCTTTTCCCCTTACTGGCTCTGTGACCTTGGGTTATTTATTTACCCTGTTATTTGCCAAAATGTTCTTAATATCGCTTTATTGTAGAGATGTAAGGATTAAACAGGATCCTAACGGTGTAACTGAGTGTCTTCTATTTCTTAGACCAAGGATTAGCATACTTTTCCTGTTAAGGGCCAGACAGTAAATATGTTATGCTTTGTAGGCCTCTTGTCACTGTCACAAGTATTCAACTTTGCTGTTATAGCATAAAAACAGCCATAGATAATAATAAATAAATGAGCATGGCTGTGTTCTAATAAAACTTTATTTATGGATGTTGAAGTTTTATTTTCATATTTTTTTCATATGTCACAAAATAGTCTTCTGATATTTTTTAACTATTTAAAAATGTAAAAAAAAGTCATTCTTAGCTTATAGTCCATACAAAAACAGGGGGCAACTGGATTTGGCCCATGGGCTATAGTTTGCCTACCCCAACCTTAAGACACTTAATCCTTGCAACACCCTCTGAGGTAGGTGCTTTGTACCTATAGGGAAACAGGTACAGAGTTGTTAGATTTTCTCAGCGTCCCATGCTGAGAACCATTAAAAACAACTAGTATAGAACCTTACCCATGGTCCATGGAGTCAACTGAATTAACAGACATTTTTTGCAACACTTTCCATCCATCTACTTCACAGGCATTTTTTGGACTGAGGCTAATATAGCTCTAGGCCCAAACCTTACAGAGTTTTCTTGTTAGAAGGTACTTATTGATAGCCCTTGTTTTACTGTTTAAAATGATAGTGCTATAGTTGGAATGTTTGTCCCCTCCAAAGCTCATGTTGAAATTTAATTCCTATTGTAACAGTATTAAGAGAGTAATCTGACTATGGTATTTGAGAGGCAGAGCCTTTAAAAGGTGATTGGATCTGAATGGATTAATCTCTGCATGGATTATCAAGGGAGTAGAGTGATGGCTTTATAAAGAGAGGAAAGAGAGCATGTAGGCACACTCTAGACCTCTTGTCATGTGATGCCCTGTGCTGCCACCAGAATCTGTAGAGTTCCCACCAGGAAGAAGGCCATCACCAGATGTAACCCCTCAAGTCTGAACTTCTCAGCCTCCAAAACTGTAAGAAATAAACCTCTTTTCTTTATAAATTACCCTGTTTCAGGTATTCTGTTATAAGGAACAGAGAGCAAACTAATAGAGTGGAACTAATACAGAGGCTTAGTGGAAAAAAATCAGTATCTAGGTTTTATACAGCCTTTTGTCCCCCTAAAAGTGCTTCACTTTTTTCTATTCATTTGCAAAACATCCCTGTGTGAGAATATATGAATTAACTTCTTTATGTTTGGAGACACTGAGGCTGTGACTTGGGGATGTTAGAAGACTTTGAAATTGTGTCTTAGGGCCCTAATATTAACATCAGAACCAGAACCCATATTTCGAACATTCCTTCTCAACATAAATGCTGTGGTGGAAATGAAGGAATAATACACGAAAATATAGTTCTGAGGCTTTCTAACTTCATCTTGATACAAATAATCCGTGACAACAGTAGTTCATTAAGTGTTTTCAGAATAACGTTCTCTCTTGCAACTAACACAGCTGCAGCAGCAGTGTAAAGAAATACACCAATTTAAATTATAAACAAAATAAAAACATTAATATCGTGGTTTTTTCTTAAAACAAACATGGATTTTCTTCTTGTCTAAAATTGGTAGCAGTTGGCATTTGCAACTTCTTTAAAAGGAAGAAAGTTGCACTTATTTCAAATATAAGAGATGCCTAAATATGTTAAAGATATTTGCCAATGGTAAAACCTTATAAAAGGTTTTTTCCCCTAACATTCTACGCAACTGGAGAGGGGGCAGTTTTTAAAAAATCACTTTTGAAAATGTTTAGGGTAAGAAAAAAGCAAAGGTGTTTCAGAATGAGAATATCCAAGCCTGGATTGATCTTCCAAAGCAAGCTTCAACTTCTTAAGCACTGCTTTATTGTTTCAGATCAAAATGCACGATCAACGTGTGCTCTTCCCATTGTATGGTTTTGCTCAGCATTTTCTATAAGAAGTGAGCAAAACTTTTCTACACTTCTCCATAGTTTTTAAAAAACCTATGGTTCACATTTTAATGACTGCATCCCACTTAGACCTTACAAGTGATTCTTTTTAAGTTTTTTCAGATATTGAGGAAACATTGCTATGGGTGTAAACTCTCATGGTAAAGGTACATAGTCCCCCACTGTGCTGGATCAATTCCAGGGTTTATTTGCTACTACCCTTACAAGTGATTCTTTTTAAGTTTTTTCAGATATTGAGGAAACATTGCTATGGGTGTAAAATCTCATGGTAAAGGTACATAGTCCCCCACTGTGCTGGATCAATTCCAGGGTTTATTTGCTACTACATCTTAAAACCAGAAATAATGCCCCACCACCAAAAAACACACACATGCACATACACAAACACAGACCCTCAACATCCCTGTGTTTGTTTGAATTAAAAGTTTTAACAAGAGTACCACTATTGTATTGTATAGATTTGTAATCACATATTCTTATACAAATAATATTAAAGTGCATAGATGGTTATAATGCTACTGTATATAGACAACTGGTATGTCACCTCCATAGCACTGATAACACGTTTTTCTGTCATACCAACCTCTCCATTTCCAAACCCCTTTTAATTTATAACATTTTATCCTAGATTTATTGTTCATTGTCAACCCTTGAGTTTATCGTCTTGTAAGCTTGTCTAGTGTTTTATAACATATTTTTAATCACTTGGATTATTTAATTTCTTGTTTTTTCCTCAGTGAAAAAATTGAAATAACCTTTAAATTTTTTGACTTCATGACCAAGAATATTTTTCAAATGAAGAAATGTACACATTAAAAAGAAGAATCCTGGTAACAACTATTTATAAATATGTGACTGTATTTTTCTTCATGTCCAGAAACTCTTATTGAATAGAACTCAGGTATATTCCTCCAAAATCCACACAGTTCAGAGATTTTCTAACACCAGGTTTCCATTTGTACCAAAATGGGCAAGATAATGAAGGCACAGGCTCACTTTGTTTCAGTAAAGGACATCAAACAGTTATGAGGCACTAATGACACATAAGCACAGTCGATCACAAAAAGCAAGTGTTCAAAGTCTTGAGTAACTTCGTCCCTTAACATTTGGCAAAATTCAGTCTAGATATTTTAATACCTAAGAAGGAAAAAATAAATAAGAAGTGCTGCATTAAAATGTCAGATTACCTATAATTAGTCTTTAGAAATAAAAGGGATAAAATGAAAAGAGGGAAACACAGATTTCCTATATTCTTAGATTATCCTTCCTTTCTGAGGGTCTCAGATGTCTGTATGCATCTGCAGAAATGCCAGCTATACCTGAAGATTAAGAGATTTTTGGTAGTTACTGACATGGTCCCTCAATACTACCTAAAAGTTTCTACCACCAAAACAAAACCAGCTTGGTTTCTGCTTTTTAGTCCTTTGTTGAAAATCACAAGTCAAATTTGGTTATTTAAAGGTGATCTAAAAAAGTTTAAAATGAAGGAAAAATTATATTCTAGTTTCCCAGTAAGAAACAGATTACACATTTAGACTTCGATGGCAAATAAATGCACTTTAAAGCCAAGCAGGTTCCTCTCTATCTATACAGATTAAGAAAACAGAGTTATTATTTCTTTATTGCTGATACCACATCACTCATAGAACATATCAAGAACTAGTTTCACAATTTTAGGAGACTTTTTCCACAACGTAATATGAAAGATGAAGTTTAACTTAACCATGAGCAGGCAGAATAGATCTGCACTCACAACATCCGTCTTACAAACATATGACAACAAAACAGCTGAGCCTCTGTTTACATCACAACCACCGTCTATGTGCTATACAACTACTTGCTTTCTAGGGGTTAATACCACCCATTGCGAGACTAGAGATGGCAGTCAACGGAGCATGCCATTTTACAAGTAAGCCTAAGTCTACAACTTCAGAAATAACATGGAAATGTTTCAGCCTATCCATAGCATTTAAATATATTTTTAAAAATTTTCCTAGGAAATTAATTTTGATAGTATTTCCTAAGTGCTTCAACTAAAGATACCTTGATCATTTTTGTCTTTTTACATCAAAATCTATCATTTTTTTAAAAAAAAACTGTTTCCAAGTATTAGGAGTAAGGGAGCTGATACAGCATGTATCCATAATTAACTGTTAATATTTTTCAATGAGTTACAACAATAAACTGTTTTGCATGCTTGAAAAATTAATTGTAAAGAAAAAATAAAGAATACTTATATGAGGACCTTAATAATTTGCTGTTTTGTTTTTTGGTTTTTTTTTTTTTTTTTTTTTTTTTTGCTTTAAAAACAAACCCTAATATTCATCTCTGACAACACAGTATGTGTATATATACATATAAAGTTCATTTCCATGCTTATTACATAAAAATAACTATCAGAAATATCAATCTATCAGTGTCAGCTGATATACAATTAATTCACTGCAGAAGGGAAAATAAAACAAAAAAATCTAAAGTAATCATTAAAGCTTACAGTTCAATTTTTTTTTCTTTTTTTTTTTTTTCCTTGACTGAACTTTTTTTGGTGGTTTTTATCTGTGTTCTTTTGCAAGCTGATTCCCAGATTAATGGCCTCCAAGTAGATTTGAAAGGAAGCCTGAAGACTTCTTACTTTGCTGTGCTTCTGCTTCCTCGTCTTGTGTAAGTCCCAATTCACTCTCAATTTGATCCAGCTCTGACTGGTCAAGTAGTTCAAAATCATCACCTTCTTCAGTGTCTGTGTCCTCTCCTGGGCTGGGTGCAGCCTGAGAAAGTGCTTGCTGAGCACCCTCTAACTGGTCTTTGATAGCGGCAGTCACTGCAGCTGTGATGACGCCCCCAGCCAGGTTGCTCATCAACTGAAAGGTTTGGTCACTGCTCAGAGGAAGGGTGAGACCAGCTGCTGACTGCCTCTCTTTGCTCGGTCTGTAGCCACTGTCCAACTGTTCCTTTTTCCTCTTGAACTCAGTGGGCAAGCCAAGGCTCAGTTCATCTTCATCATTTGTTCCCATGCCATTTCCTAGAGATGGAAGATCTGAAAGATCTCGAGAGAAAACTTCTTCACTGGGTCGGTCAAGATCTGTGAAATGGATAACAAAAGTTCATCCTTAAGCCCCATAACAAATTTGAAATAAAAGAGCTGTCTAAAAGATATCTGACTTTAATCTGAACCCTCTGGGCAACCTTAACATTCATCTAGCATCATCCTAAGTCAACTTGAATCAGTTTAACCACATAGTGGACCGCTCCCAAATCTGCAATACTATCTCCCCACAAGTACACAAATACTACATATTCCCCCATGTCTTCAGCTTTCCTCTTTAGCATAAAAAAGTGAATGTAATGACTTAATATTCAACCTTGTCTAAAATTAGCTTGAGGCTTTGATTAAAGTGTTCACCATAAAAATTCCATCCTTCCCCATAGGGTGGGAATTATCTTAAGCCAATGGAGATATACGTGATTGTAAAATAAAAATATCTCAGTTGGAGGCTTTCATGGATTTTGGTATATCAAATGGTGAATATTTTACAGCCTCACCATTTTCATACACGGAGATCTGTTTGAGTATCTGTAACATGTGTTTGTTAAAGGAAAGAAAAGAAGCCACTGCTCCTTCAACCCAAGAGCTTATGGAAATATTTTACTCTCCTTATGTACATATAGCTGAAACTGACCATACCAAGTTTCAGGACATTTGATAGCAATGTCAGATTAGGAGGCAAACTGATTTTATTGTTTTTACTTTTCACAGAAAATCGTTTAGTATAACAGTTAACTCCTTGCAAAGTGATTTGAAATTCCTTGCAAAGTGATTTGAAATTTTTGACTCAATTAATGGAAAGCCTTATAGGTAGGTTGAATTATTATCGTTCCTTTTGTTGTATAAATCTGAGATGGGATGCTTAAGAACAAAGTACTTGTTATCCTGGTCTTTAAAATATGACTTCAATTATAGATCCTGAGAGCTCGTAGAGCTTGAGGGAACTTCAGTGATCCTCTTGTTCTAATGCACTTTTAAGATGAGGAAACTGAGGTCCACAGAAATTGTCCCCTGTTCAAGGTTATACAGTTAGTTAGTGATACAGGCAAGACTACACTTGGGTCTTCTAACCTCCAAACCTGTCTTCTTTCAAACACTGCACGGCCTACCTCTCTACTTCCTATGGAAAAAGAAAGTATGTATTTGGAAAATAACTATAAAACAGTTTATTCAACCTCCTCCCTTATAATCTGCTCATATGTTCAATATATGGCTGAAACCACTTAAAATAATCCAGTGGGTCTACCAAAAGTTAAGTTACCAAAAGTTAAGTTGCACACGTGTTGTCTGTCAATTTAGTTTATGGGTGGAATCTCCATTAGTGAAGAATATTGTGCTCTCCTATTTTATATTATATTTAACCTAATTATGAAAAACAAAGATGCTTTTTTAACTTTGAAGACAAGTATGAGAAACTTTGGAGCCAGCTTTGAACTCAGGGAACTAGCCCTCCTACTCAAGTCCCTCTTAATGAGGACTAGGCCTGGATGAACAGGATTAGCTTCTCTCTTTTTCTCTTCCCGTTATTGCTATAAGCAATGCTGCCCAACATTTCAGGAGGTGATTTTTTTTATTTTCAATTTTTTTGTTGTTTTCAAACTAAGGGCAAATATGGCCATGGATAAATTTTTTTTCCTCATACTTTTAAAAAATAACAGCTTTTGAGATATAATTCACATACCATAAAATTCACCCCTTTAAAGTGTACAATTTAGTGGTTTTTAGTACATTTGCAAAACTGTACAGCCATCACCACTGATTCTAGGATATTTTAATCAGTCCAAAAAGAAACTCATGTCAATCAACAGTCACTCACCATTCCCTCTTAACCCCCAGCCCCTAGCGACTACTAACCTACTTTCCCTCTATAAGGACTTGCCTATTCTGGACGTTTCATATAAATGGAATTATACAGTACGTGGCCTTTTGTGTCTGTGTCGGGCTTCTTCCACTTAGCATAATGGTTTTAAGGTTCATCAGTGTTATAGCTAGTATCAATACTTCAATCATTTTTATAGCCAAGTAATACTCCACTGTGTAGATATACCACATTTCATTTACCTATTCAGTAGTTGATAGAAGTTAAATATTTTTGTGTGCACTCATAATAATAAAAATAAGAGTATCCAGAAATACTAGCATACCGTCAGAAGTGTCTGTCTGTGGAGTGTATCCTTCTGAAAGGTTGAAGGTCCCATTATCAGTCCAGGATACCTCTGAGACGTCTGTGTCAGACACAGATAACTCTTTGGCAGCAACCGTGAGGCTAATCTGTGTTAATATAAATACCGGTGGCACATTTTAAACTGCTGAGGGAAATCTTCAGAAAAATCCTTCCTACCCCCCAAATTTCAGAATAATAAAAACTAGATGAGTATTTTACTTTGGAAACCATTCAATTATCTTACAGAAATAGGAGTTCATTAGGAACACCATTCAACTTTGGTGCATGTAAATAAACTTACAGTCAAACCACACAGGAACAAATTGAAAACTAAACAAAAAATACCTTAGGACATAGAGCTGAAAGGTCTAATTCACTGTCATCCTTGTTACTTTTGTCTTTATCTGCTTCTGTTAAGAAAAAAATTGGAAGTTTTCAGTTTCCTGGCCAGCTTAGACAGGGTGAATTTCTTTTATTTTACTATATATTCTTACCCACATTCCTCACATGAGGGTATTGCAAAAAGTTCATGGAAAGATTTGTATTATCCTTTTTTTTTTGGCAGCTAGCCAGTATGGGGATCTGAACCCATGACCTTGGGGTTATAAGACTGCATTCTGACCATATTATCTTTTAATTCTATCTTTTCATGAATTTTTTAAAGTACCCTGGTATTCTCCAAAGCCTCCATATAATTAAATGTTTGTACATAACATGCTTTACATACTAGCAAAATGTTTGATTTCAAAAGGAAATGGTCCACATTAGTGATTTTCATAGTGTGGTCCCTGAACAAGCAGTAGCAGCATCCCTGGAAACTTTATAGAAATGAACATTCTCAGGCCCTGTCCTAGACCTACCGAATCATAAATTCTGGGTTGGGGCCCAGTACACTACGCTTTAATAAGCTCTCCAGGTTGATTTGATGAATGCTATAGTTTGAGGTCACAGGCCAAGTTAAAAAGTAAAAAAATGATCACATTTGTTTTTCCTTTACTTTCTTTTTCTTCTGTTCTTTCAATCCCCCCTTACATGACTCCCACACTTTTAGCCCTACCTGTGTCATTTTTTATTTGCAATAGTCCAACCCAAAATAAAACAAAGTTAAGTAAATCATAAATAGCAAAATATAGAGCTGAAGCCTTTTCTTCTTCCACTGACAATTTGGATTAAAATATCATTTTATTTAAATTGTATGTTTGAGAAAAGAATAAAAGACTAAATAGGAAAAACCTATATATATATATATTACTTTGGAGGATTAGCTTCTATAATAATATTTGGCAAAAGGCTAAAAGCACCCTAAATGTAATAAAGGCAATTTCATAATAAATAGACTGCTGATGACTCATTTCATGCATAGAATAAAAAATTCAAACTTTACCTACCAGATCTCTCACGTTTTTTCTGATTAATATATTCTCCAATTCCAAAATCTAGTTTCAGCAGAACTGACTTGATCTTGCTGTATATTTTTTGTCCAATATCATTACACTTAAACAGTGGACACAAAAACGCACAGAGTACTGAAATATAATAAGGAAGAGAGTACAGGTAAAATGTCCTTCCTTTCAAAAGTCACATATTAGTATTTCACAAAATACTAAGTTTCCTTACTGAAAAACAGAACTTTTTTTTCCTTACGGAAATGCCTCTGTGAAATAAATTCATAATTTCTATTCTTCCCCCATAATGAAAACATTTTCTGCTACACCCCCCGCCCCGCCATGCTCACAGTCATTCTCAGACTTGCAATTAGATCTGCTCCCTTCCCTCAATCCTTTTACCCTCAAAACTTTTCTAGAAAGATTACATGCTTTCCAGACAACATTTGTGGGTTAAAATCTCAACTCTACTTATTAAATGCCATTTTATCATGGGAAAATTATTACTACCTATTAGCCTCTCATCAGTAATATTGGGATAATAACCTTATTTCTTGGGGTTGTTGCTAAGTATAAATGAGATTAAGGCACACCACGTGAATAATGCCTTGTCCATATTAGACTCTCCTTCCCCAGCCCTCTTCTCCTTTACCTCCCAAACAATGTAGATTGAGAGGTTGGTATTATTCATGAGCCCTATTTGGGTGGATGGATTTGAGATCCAACCATTTTCCACTTATGTTATACATTAGGAATACAAACAGAAATCAAGATTGCCACACTGGGTGCACTGTATTCTCTAATATTTATTTCTTTGTTGTTTTATAGGAAATGTCCCCTATTACCTTCTAAATTAGGAGTTGCAAACTCAAGTATCTCTAGAGACCAAGGAATTATATGTAAATTTTAAAAGCTAGTGAAAGAAAAATAGGTAAATATTAGTGTTAGTTAAGTGGAGAATGCCTGCCCCATCAAAAGGCAGCAGTGCCAGATCTTTATATTTTTCAGGAAAAGCAAAATATCTACACTTTTTTTCTTACAGTATTTTTGAATTATAGTTGACATGCAATAAATTGTACATATTTGAAGTGTACAATTTGATAAGGTTTGACATCTGTATACAACTAAGAAACTATCACCACAATCAAGATAGTGAACATATCTACCACCCCTCAAAGTTTCCTCATGTTTTATTAATCCTTCCTTCCTACCTCTCCCTGCCCCCACCCACCTCATCCCTAGGCAACCACTGATCTACTTTGTTACAAAAGATTAGTTTGAACTTCCTAGAATTATATATCAATAGAATCATACAGTATACACTCTTTTATCTGTCTTCTTCCACTCAGCCTAATTATTTTGAGATTTATCCACAGTGTTGCATGTATCAGTTTTTTAGTCCTGATAGTTTTTTTTTTATCCATTCATCTGTTAATGGACACATGGATTATATTCCACTTTTGGCTACAAATAAATCTGTTATGAACCATCATGTGCAAGTCTTTGTGCAGACATATACTTTCATTTTTCTTGGGTAAATACCTACCTTTGGGATGGCTTGGTCATATAGTTTTTGAGAAACTGCCAAACCATTATCCAAAGTGCTTGTAGCATTCTACCTACTCACCAATCTATGTGAGAACTCCAGCTGCTTCATATGCTTTCTAATACCTGATTTGGTCAGTATTTTCAATTTGAGACATTCTGGTGGGGGTGCGGTGATATCTCACTGTGGTTTTAATTATTTTTTGAGCCACAGAACACGCACAAAGGCAAAGGTGTTGGTATATTCATGGGGCTGGGGCTTATAGATTTTTTACAGTTTTATTGACATTATTTAACATAAAATTATTCACTTAAATTCCTGCCTTCTGCAGCTATTCTTCCAATTTTAAAATATAAACATGTCTCTATGATAAAAGAGAAACTTTGAAGATTAAAGAATAATCAATTTGTTTTATAATTAAGAACTCATCCCTCCTCTTCCAATTACAGAAGGTCTATTGACCATTAAATGATGTCATATTTATCACACAAATCAGCCAAATATCCCACTATACTTACACAGTACATAGCTGAGTATAACCCCAGGAATGTAACTTCCCAAGATCGTAAAAAATGTGCACACACTGCAGACCAGGAGACAAAACTAGAAATAACAGAAATGACATGAGATAGTTATGCAAAGACATTTTAGGCATAGGATGCACATACAATTATTTATCTATGCAACCTATCACGTTATGTCATGTTTTTCAAACAGCATTGTTTTGCACTTAGGGCTGATGACTGCTGCATTCAACCAGCCTTAGTCCACTTCAACACTAGTAATAATTGCAGGAGGTCGTTTCTGGCACTGAGAAGATGACTCTCATTACTCATGCCTGTGACTGTATCACTACAGGTGCAAGAGACTATGTCCCAAGAAACTTCTTTAAGTCAGCATCATTTAATGAAAGTAATGCAGTAAAGTAAAAACTAAATCTGCAAGTTCGATCTACCACTATAAACCCATCAAAATTCATAAACACATCAAAACATGTTACAGAAATAGAGGCATCTATACAAATCTAACGTAATCTGCACAGCAGGTAAGCTGCTAGAATAAATCTATGGCCACTACTCTCCTTCCTAATCATATCCACCTCTCAAATTAACTCTACTTCTAGGTCACCTAGAAATCAGCTGCAAATGAAATGAAACTCCTACATTGAAATCTGATTATTTTCCTTCTCTGTTAGTTACAACAAAGAAATCTTGGGGTTTTTTAAGAAATTAAAAACAATCTATGGAAAATTTCTCTAATTCTCATTAGAAACATTAAGACAGAAATATTTTTCCAAAAACTCTTCACTTGATTTCCACATTCCAGTCTTAAAATTACTTCTTTTGCTTTATCTTTAAATGGTAGTATTAAATTAAACTGAATAAGCAAACACCATTTAAAGAAAATTCACTAAGGGAATTTAAGAAGGAGTACACACCTCTGATTATTAACTGATTAAGAGAAAGAGCAAAGGGGTCTAACTTTAGGTTAACTTTGATTTTTCATTCTTTGGCACAGGGTTTAATAAATTAGTCGAAAGGAGAAGAGATGAACTTGTGGAACAAAATTAAGAGCTGTTTCTGAAACAGCAAGGTCCCTTGAAAGAATTTGGAATTCTAGAAATGAAATGGAAAAGGCAAGGCCATAAAAGTCGAAGGAACAAATAAGTTAATAAAAGTACTACTATATCCAGAGTTTAGTTTACAAAGGGATCTGTTTTTATTCCCAAATGTGTAGCATCATCATCTTCAGCTAATTCATTTGGGCACATTGCTGCAATCCAATGCAGAAATTTGAAGTTTAGAATCTTCCAAAACTATGTTTAAACTGTTCAGTAAAATAGGCATCAAAAATACATCATGACCCCTTACCCCAGTGTGGATATCTATTCTAAAAATTACTTTCAGTGATTTAAAAAAATCCATCCAGATACAACACTGCCACTTCAGTATGCTCAAAATGTCTCCAAGCATAGTTCTATTATTTAATACTAGTGAAGTTATAAGATTACCCCGTACATGACGCAACAAGAGGGATTTTATTTTATTTTTTTTTCCTTTTTGTCTTTTTTCGTGACCGGCAACAGATCGCAACCTTCAGTATCGCGCCCGTACCGGACCGGGACCGGCAACGGGATCACAACCCTTGGTGTTGTGCGTCCGCACCTCGCTCAGCAAGTGAGCGGCCGGTCTGTATGTGGGATCCGAACCCTCGGCAGGAGCGCCGCCGCGCTCCCAAGCGGTGCACTGTAGCAGTGCGCCACTGGGCCGGCCCCAAGAGGGATTTTAAATGCTGACATTCCTAGCTTTGTTTCAACTACTGGTGGATATATAAGGAACCTGAGGGCAACACCGGAATACACAAGGTCTGTTGATGGTTCTGCACCTCACCTAAGCTATCAAGACTGTCAATCTCAGCTAAAGCTGCCTCCACACATAAAACAATCCATGTGTGGGCACATCCCCACGTAATCCCTTTCCAACCACCGAAGACTTTTCCCCTCGTGGGTTTTTAACTTAATTGGGAAAATACTCATTCATTTATATAATCACTATGAATGTTTTTGCCCAAAGTTTTCTTTCTGAAATAAATCATACAAGAAATCTCCACTTTTTAGATTGAAAGGGAAACTCAATTATCTCTGAAAACATCCTCAAAGGACTATGTGCTCGTTTCATCTTCCTTGGACTTCAGAACAAGGCTAAATACGATAACTGAAATTCTTAATAAGACATTTTTTCTCCTTGGTCTGGGTGATAAGACCACTGACCATTCATTCTAGTTAATGGGCTAGATAAATCTGTATAAAATAGAAAACCGATCCAACTTTGAAATATGAAGCTGAGGATTCTCTAGCGCTCACACACTAACCACATTTCTGAACCTTGCTGATAGCAGCTTTTATGGCATATATTCCTAGTGTATCATATGCAAAACTGGAGAACGCTTACAAGCTGATGAAAGAGGTTAGTTCATTTGTTTCCAAGTACATTGCACATTTTAAAAATGCTCCCATCCTGGAAAACTTGCCTTGCCAGGGCTCTGCTGTTTAAAAAGAGACATTTCTTGGAGAAATATGCTGAAATTCATCCATGACTCTGCAATACAGTGGCTGAATCTGGGTCTTTCATCTGGTTTGGAATTGATAACTTCCCAGCTAAAGAGAGAAAAAGAAAAAAAAAATAACTGAACTTTAGATGATTCATTCAACATTCATGGCTTCAGCAAATATTTATTGAGCATCTACTGTTGGCCACACTCTCTGGAAAGCCCTGTGAATCCGAAGGTGAACCAGCCAGGTACCTGCCTCCCAAAGCTCACATACGAAGAGAAACAACTACCTACACAATTAACTATCCAATTACAACAAGGGAAATGCTGGGGGAGAAGTGCAGGGTGGGGTCTTCAGGACATCTTCTCTGAAGAAGTCATCTTTAAGTTCAGATCTCGAATGGATTAGCAGTTTACCATAAGAGTTCCAGATAGAACAACGTATGGTATATGCAGAGACCCTGGAGTGGGAAGGAGCTAAACGTGCTATCCTTTCAAGCCCCACTGTGGCTCCAGCCAAGTGAACCAGGAGAATAACGTACGAAGCTCGGGAGGTAGGAAGAGACCTAGATCATGCAGGGACTTGTAAGACTTGTTAGAAACTTTTAAAACTTAAGAATTGGGAAGCCACAATACTTTTAAAGAAACCTTGGCATTAAGCATATAATTATTAATAATAAACACCAACAATGTATTTTCAATATATATGGTGGTTGGTCAATTCTGTAGAAAATTGTTAAATTCAACAGGATCTCACAATACCTCCCCCTACTTTTCTAGAGTATCTTTTCCCAGTCATCACCTACAATGCGCTGAATGTGATACATAGGTCAGGCAATGGGAATGTCCCCACCCTCATTCTTCCACAGGAGCCTCAGCAGCGCAAAACTCTAAACAATCACTCCAGGAAGAAGACGCATCCAAATACCTGAAATCTCCTAAAATTACAATGACATCAAGCTTAAATCCTACTCTTGAAATCCTAACTCATAACAACACACCAGTTCAAACAAGCTCTGTTAAGGGCCCTCAAATTCATTCACTTAAGAGATAAGTAGTGCCTACCATGTTGAAGGCACTGATATAGAGCTATGCATACGGCAATAAACAAATGCAGTAAGGTTTTTAGCAGGAGACAAGAATCAGCAGTGAACTACATCATCTGAGCTATGACTGCAAGGGTATCACGTGAGGGTGATCTCTGGATTCAATTCCAGTAGCCCTAAGACAAATCAAACTACACTGGCCTTTAGATGCTCAACTACAAAGAAATTGTGTGCGTATACATTGTTACTTTTTAATATATTTTGAATAGTAAGGCAATTTGTAAATTAATTAAAATTCCTTTTTTAAATATAAATTTTAATCCAAGTTTAGATGAGTGCAATAGCATTAGAAAAGGGGAAAAAAAGTATTCTATTTTCCTTCCTCTTTATTCTGTCAGCCTCAACAGCTCTGCCAGAGAGTCACTCCCTACCAGTGGCCCTGTTTCATCTTATTCCACCAGGCAGACATTTGCCAAATGATTTCCTGCCTGTCATAAGAAATGAACTTGTGAGGACATCTAGCTGTCAGGGAGTAGTTTATGCACCCATGAACTCTGCCCCCTCTTGAATCACTGAGCATGCCTGTGTTCACTGGTGACCAAATCTGGTACGCGGTTTGCATATCCCATAAGTAATTCCAGATTAAAAGAACATGAAGTGCATGATTAAGGAGCCAATATCTGTAATAAAATCTTGCCGATATATTGGCTTAATGGGAAAAGGTTTTGCACAGGAGAGCAAAAGCTGCATGGCAAAGGAAATAAAGGTTATTAAACTGTGGTCTCTCTTCTCAGAACAACACAGACCTGCTGCAAACTGGCATGGACGGGCTATCCTCCTGTCCAGTTTAATGGGACCATGAAGATGACAGAAACACAGATTTTCACTTCTGCTGTCTATGCGTATTGAGTAGTATATTTAAGGATTTGGTTGAACTGCTTGGCAAATATAATTCTAACAAAAATCAGTTAAAAACTTAGGATGATTTATTATTATTCTTTTAAAGATTAAAATGGAATGAATGAACATTTCATATTTTGAAATAAATTTAAAATATACTTTCTTCAGGACAATGAACAAGTAAGGTGAGCTGTGTTCAAGCAATGTAAGAAAAAACACAGCAGTAAAACTAAATGAACTCAAACTCCACGTTTATGTATGAACCTCACAGTCATAATATTGAGAGAGAAAACAAATCAGAAGAATATATACAGTATGGTTTCATTTATATAAAGCTCAAAATCATGGTAAGCTAAATGTATTATTTAAGCAAGGAAATGATAAAAACAAAATTCAGGAGAGGGGTTACCTCAGGTGGGGGGTTATGTAGGGAATGTGACTTGAGCAAAGCGAATGGGAGCTTATTAGGTAATGATCATGGTCTATTTCTTAACTTGGGTGATTAATACATGAGAACGGACACACTGCTGTTCTTAAAGCTGCACATCACATATTTTTAAAATTTTGATACTCAAATGTATGATCATGATTTTTACTTCATTAACAACATTCTTATATGAGTATATCCCACTTCACATTCTATTGTCAAAATACAAATGTTACTAGCTTTTGTCTCAGTTTATTTACTTGTGAAGTAAAAGTAGTATTTCTGCTGGCTACAGCCATGAAAAGCCATTTTTTGAATGAATGGACTTTTTACAGATGCTGGAACTTTGTTCTAACACTACCTTTAGGATTCATGTCTCAGAAATGACTCCATATTTAAATGCATATTTTTTATTACTCTAAATGTCCTAAAATTGGAAAGGAGCCTAGTCTAATACTAAACTACCATCACAGAGATAATGTTAGAGCAAAGACTTCATATAACGTAAGGTGCTTTATACAGATCACAAAGAAATAGCTAAAAATTCTCTTTTGCATGCAATGGCCTTACTATTCTCCATAGTGGACACCATCCACCCATTAATTAATTCATTTATTCAATAAAAAGTTATCAGGTCCCCCCCTTTGTGTCCTGCATTATACTAAATGTGTACAATTTTGGAGATTTTTTTAAGAGTATACATTTATTTATTTATTTTTAGTTTATCAATATACAATATAGTTAATTTTCATGTCCCTTCACTGATTCCTCCTTTTCCTGCCTCCCTTTCTGCCTGCCATCAACATCATATCTGTTCACTTGTCTTAACAAATTCAAGGAATTATTTGTGATTGTTGTGTCTTCTTTTCCACGCCATGTTTGTTTGTATATTTATTTATTTATTTTTATTAGCTCCCACAAATAAGTGAGAACATGCAGTATTTCTCTTTCTCTGCCTGGCTTATTTCACTTAATATAATTTTCCCTAAGTCCATCCATGTTGCTGCAAATGAAAGCATTTCGTTCTTTTTTAGAGAAGAGTCGTATCTCACTGTGTAGATAGACCACATTTTCCTTATCCACTCATCCGATGATGGGCATTTAGGCTGGTTCCAACTCCTGGCTATTGTAAATAGCACTGCAATATACATGGGAATACAGGTATCCCTTCGACATGTGTAAAATACTGTTATTTGGAAAAACTGAATGCCTGTAACACTGTTCCTCTCTCTGTGTCCCACCACTTGCTGGGAAGAAGAAACAAAAGAATATTCAATTTGTGACTATTTTCCATAGCCATAAGAAAACACTTAATTATATTCAATGTCTCTCCTTTGAAAAAGCCCCATATGACACTTATTTTGAACAATAAATTCCATCATTACTTACATTTATATTAACATAAGAACAGATACTTCTGATATTTAAATTGTTACAATCACAAACAGAAATCACATTGTGTACAGCTTGAAAATATTATCTAACCGAATGGGTTTGGAAACAGTAAAAAATGTCTGAGATAAAAATAAATGTTCAGACTGTGCTGTATAAAATTTAATGGAAATATATATGACTTCAAAAGAAGATCTGAATCAAGGGTGAAGAAGAGATGTCACTCCATACCTCTTTAAATGAGACATGGATCCAAAAGAGTTGCACTCTGGTAGTTTAATAATAGTTTAAAATTGTCCAGTGATTAATTCTGAGTACCATAGCAACACACATTTCTATAGTCTTCCAGTGACTCTCCCATTAACTTACTTCACCACAATTCAATTTAGGTAATACAGAGTTATATAATTTCGAATGAGGCAGGGCATTTAATGTCAACTTTTCACATTCCCTTATTTTATAGATGAAGAATATGAAAACAAAGTTTTCTTAGCTAGTTTGGGGCAGAGCCAAGACCCAAGGCTAAGACTCCTGATTTCCAATACAGTTCTGTTTCCTTTAAAACTTGTGCCCTCTTCAAAGGATGAATAAATTCAATGACATCCTTTGAAGAGACCACGTTGTAATGCGGAATGAGAAGGAACGTTTCATGTCTGCCCCACCACTCCTTCCAAGAATCAGGAGGATGAGATGTGATTGACCAACAGCAACGCGGCAACACGTAGGACCAACCCTTTCCAGGAAAACAGAGCACTTCATGTGCAGAACCAGACACTCAGCAGAAACTTACATCCATGCTTGGTAGCTGGTTGATGTTTAATACAGCGCGTACACAAGCAGAGTTGCTCCATAATGAAACTCTAGGTGTTCCTAGAGAGCCTTGTTTGCAAAACATTAAACCAGAGAAAGGATCCCCTGTGAATACTGGACGAGGCTTGGGGAACAGATCGTTTCCGTGGTGTGTGGCTGTCCCCCACCATCCTTGGCACTGACCAGTGTGCAGCATAAGGCCCAACAAACAGAAAAGGAAGTGAAATATACCTGAGGCTTCAAAACAGTTTGAGTTTTTACTGAGTTCTTAACCGATCGGTACAAGTCTTCTATGATTTCTTTCATCTGAGGGAGAAAATTAGTTACCAAACAGCTTTATTATTATATTTCCTCCTTTGTTTCAGAGAGAACTTGTATTTTTCCAGGTTCAAAGTGAAAGATTCTTTGGCTCATCCTTCCATCCACCTTCCCTCCCTTTCTCCTTCATTCCAAATTCTCTCACACTCTTGCCTTCACTAAGGTGAACCTGCTGCACACCCCAGCCATGAGATAAGGGCCACTGAAGAGTCA